GCCAGATGCTCCTCACTCCCACGAATGTCCGTGAAGTCTCCAGCAATCAGCGCCTCTGCAAACCCAGTTAGTGGGCCTTGGAAATAAATGTAACCAGAAACAATCCAGGGAGCCAGTCCTGCCCTGGGCAAACCAAGCGAAGTCACTCCAGTTTGACCCAGTTGTACTCAAAAGCAGAGCTGGCCCCTGAACGCCTCTTAGCTTCCTTCCCTGAAGTACAGAAAGCTGGAAGTAGAAATGGGCCTGAACCCAAACCCTGGGGAAGTCTGGACTCCTGTGTGAAGCTTGAGCCTGGCAGAATAAAAAATAATCACGGGGGCAACAGAGGTCGCTGTCCACCAACAGAGCTGGGGCGTGGGAGAGCCGCCAGGTTTATCTGTACCCAATGGCTTCAGTCAGGGATCTCACAGATAAATAGATTGTAGAGTCAGAAGGGACCCTGAAGGATCATCATGTCCGACCCCCCTGCTCCAGGCAGGAAAGAGGACCGAGGTAAGACGACCCCAGCCGGGTGCCCATCTTAGCCTCCTCTTGAAAACCTCCAACTGAGGTGACAGTACCACCTCTCCTGGCAGCCCGTTCCAGATTCTGGCCACCCTTAGTGTGAAAAATTTCTTCTTAATGTCTAACCTTAATCTACTCTCCACTAGTTTGTACCCATTAGTCCTAGTTACTCCTAGGGGTGCCCTGGTAAACAGCACATCTCCAATTCTCTGTTGTTCTCCCTTGATAAACTTATAGGCTGCTACAAGGTCTCCCCTCAAATGTCTCTTGTGAAGGCTGAAGAGATCCAGATCCCTCAGCCTCCCCTCATGTTGTCTTGCACGGAGGCCACTAATCATGTGAGTGGCCCTCCTCTGGACCCTCTCCATGTTGTCCACATCCCTCTTGAAGTGCGGAGCCCAAAACTGGACGCAGTACTCCAGCTGCGGCCTGACCAGTGCCGCATAGAGGGGTAGCATCACCTCCCTCAATCTGCTGGTTATGCATCGACTAATGCGTGATAAGGTGCAATTGGCCTTGTTGCTGGCTTTGTTACACTGCCAGCTCATGTTCATCAACTATAGCTCCAAGATCCCTTTCAGCTGCTGAGCTGCTGAGGAGGTCATCCCCCAACCTGTAGGTGTGCTGGGGATTCCTCCTCCCTAGGTGGAGTACCTTGCATTTATCTT